CTTTCCCTGGACGGGCTGAGCGGTGGCCCGGAACCCGGGACCTTACTTGGAAACGGGGTCTTTTCAGATGTATTAAAGATAAGGATCCCGCTGAGATCATGCCAGATGTGGGGTGGGCCCCAAATCCAAGGATGGTTTCCTCGTAAGAGACAGAAGAGAAGGCTGTGAGGACAGAGGCAAAGCCTGGAGCGCCCTGAGGGCCAGAGAGGCAGGAAGGACCCTCCCCTGGAGTCTGGAAGGAGTGCGGTCCGGCCACACCTAGATCCAGAACCGGGAGGGATAAATCCTTCGTTTAGGTCCCAGGTCAGTGGTCCCGTCACGGCTGCCCCAGCAGACGGTCCCCTTCTCGACCTGGCCTTGGTCCTCTCACCTCCACCCTGTCCTGTGTCCCCCACGTCACCTCTGAGCTGAGGACGCAGATGCCCTTCCCCAGACCCGTGTCCGCCACACCGACAGGTGAGCCCTACACCGCCCGCGACCCAGCACCGCAGACTGCGCGGCTCACACACGTGTATCCCCTCAGCTCGGCAGGGCAGAGCCCGAGATCCGGGGTCCCAGGCTGGCTCCTGCCCAGGGACCACCTGCCCTCCTCCGCCCCCACTCTCCCCTGGCTTCCGGGGTCCCCACAACCCTGGGCTTGGTGTGGCCTCACCCCATCTCTGCCTCTGCCGTCACGTGGCCCCTCCCCGTGTGTGTCCAAACGGCCCCCTCTTAAGGACACCAGTCCTGCTGAGTTAGGACCACCTGCTTCTGTGTGACCTCCCCTTAACTAACTACTCCCGCAAAGACCCCGTTCCCACACAGGTCCCACTCTGAGGTGCTGGGTCAGGACTTCACGTGAACTTGGGGGGACGCGAGGAAACCCACACCACTTGCTCTGGGTTCCGTCTGCCTCCTCTCTGCGGACTACGTTTCCTTCCCCGGGTGTCTGTGGGGTAACAGACCCGCCGCCGCTCTCCCGTGTCCACGCAGGGTGTCCACTCCACCACCAGGGCCTCCCGTGAGCCGGGCTGGGGCCTCTGCAGACCCACACCACTCCTATCCCAGCCACTTCAGCCCTCGTGTCTCCTTCACGGCAAGTGGCGCTGGTGTCTCACTTCCTGCAAATTTTCTTTTTCAGATGAAAGCTGCTGAGCATGAAGAAAATGTGACTGAAAGCAAGAACACGAAGGGACACGGCTTGCGGGCGAGGCTCTGTGGTGGGTGGGGCAGGGTCCCGGGCAGGGGCGGCCGGCAGTGTGGACAGCACTTGGCCCAGCACACAGCCTGGTCCTGGTTTTTCCCGCCAGAGGCTGTGGGCGCTGGGATCCAGGGGAGGAAGGCCCCAGAGGTGATACCATGTGGCGCCAAAAACAGCCCCCACGGAGGCTCCTCTGATGCAGAGAGAATGTCTTTATTTCCTGGATATTCTCACGTAACAAAAACCACAACGCACAGTGAGGAGTGGGGTGGGGGTGGGTGCTGTGGGCGATCCCGGGCTGGCTGATGCCTGCTCATCGCCTGTCACTGGTGGCGCCCCGCTCACACGAGACTCGGCCGCACGGGGAGAGCGGCGCACGCCTCTGTCACGGGAGGTGGCCTTGGGGACGAGACGGGCCCCAAGTTTCCCATCTCAGGGGCCCATTAGGGTCCCAGACCCGGGCGCTTTCTCGCGGCCACCTTCGGGCACCGCGGGGTGGTCAGCACGAGTAGCCAAGCAAGCAGGCAGAGGCGTGGGGGGTGGCCCAGCTGGTACGACAGGAAGGGCGTCCTGCCCCGAGGGCTGGGTGGCTAAGAGCCGAGGGGCAGCGTCCAGGGCGCCCAGGAGCCTGGATGGGGGCCCATCCACTCACACAGGTGCAGGCTGCTTGTCTGGGAAGGAGCTGGAAGGACTGGAGGGCAGAGCGAAGGGGCGGGTTCAGCTTCCTAATAAGGCACAGACTTGTCACTCTCCTCTGTCCCCTCAGGGACTCCAACTCCTGGTCCCGCGGCCCCGGGAGGGCTGCGTGGATGGCAGCCCACGAGCCTCGGGCCCAGCGCTCGGCCTGGGGCGTGAGCTCTGTGGAGATGCATCTGGTTTCCCATCTGCTTCCATCGGGGACAGACCGGCACCTCCCCTTCCCCGCAGAGAGAGTTGGTCCCAGGTTTCAGATCTGACGAGGTCCTGCCTGAGGGTCCCAGCTCTAAGACCCCTCCGGGGGAGATGAGAGCGTCTCAGAATGAGCGTGGCCACAGGCAGGGGGACTGGAGGCAAGCTGCCAATGGACAGATGGACAGCCAGCCAGACGGAGTGAAGCTCAGATCGTGGCACTGAGGCGGCAAGTCCACAAGAGGGCAAACACATGGAGGATCCGGCTACCGTCGAGCCCCTCCGTCTCCCACCAGGGACCGGAACCTGGTGCTGGGAAGGCCTCCCTCTTTCC